TGAACCGAATGATTACATAATTCTGATGATGTTAAGCAGTGGTCAAGCTGTCATGACAAGTAATGACATGGATATTATACTACACCAGGCTAGCTTTTTTTTTTGACAAGTTTTTGCTATAGGGCGCATGCGCTCCCCAGACAGACTGAGAGAGACAGAGGGACAGAAAGGGAGAAATCATCCTCCGTGGGGGGATGGTCATGCCGCAATCCCTTCTCCATTCTCCTCTTGGGATCTTGGGCACACATGCACATGCGCCCGGCGTGAGTTTTAAGCCACTGGGTCCGGGACGTGAACCGCGGTAGACTACATGGGAGTCCAGCGACATAGCCATTACGCTAACTGCTGGTCCCCACCAGGCTAGCTTTCAAAGAACTAGCAAGGGCTTTATTTCCACCCCCAGGCCTAACACAATTCTGTGCTCATATGCATCCTTGACAAGCAGGGCACAGGTAGGATTGCAGCATCCATTCAGTTCTGGACCAGGTAGGTACTTTTGTTCACTGCTTCAACTCTCTAAGAAATAGGAAGGCTGAGAGTTACACAACTATAAGCCCCATAAAGGTTCAGCCTGGTCTTTCTTGTTCGACTCTGTGTTCTACCTAATCTAATAAGAGTGTCACATAGTGACTAAGTGATAAGCATTTATTGGATGAATACATAGTAAATAATTCTTGAATGAATGAGTAATGATTAGTGAAAGAGGCAAGAGTTTGTTTCAACATTTGTTGGTAGTTTGGATGACCCCTCTGAGCTTTGCTTTTCTCCCCTTGAAAACTCAAAGGAAGATATTCAAATGTATTATTATCATAATCAGTATTTAAGATGTCAGTTATACCTTCTTGAGTCTATTTACTGTTGAGCGGCATTCCCAGGTCACATCCAATTTAATTCATACCTGATTTACATAATCCATAATAAAACAAATTTTATGGTTCTGCTTTGAAATAATATTACTGGCAAAAACTGTTTTCTTAAAAGATATTTTTTAGAGTTATTTTAATATCTGGTACAAAACTGAGGGTTAACTGTTAGTGCCTTCTATAAAAAAATGAGGATAGTTGAGAGTTCCGGGCCCAGCATAACTAGTCATTTAAGCATAGCAATGTTGCTCAGCACAGAAGGGCTAGATAACTCAAATATGCAGGCCAATCCCAAGTCTTTCACAGACAGAAAATTGTCAAAAATTACGAACAGTCGGTGGCCTCGTCACATCTCCAAAATAAGCACGGAGCTGCCATGAACTTGGTATAATTTTCCACTTTTAATATTTGAGTGGGCTTACAGAATCTACCTATAAGCACATGAGTAATTTCTCCGCCGTACAATAGATGTAACTGATAACAGTAAAAATATATGGAAATTTTAGTTATTCTCCATATGAAGATTGTATCAGAACTTCCTCCGTCAACACTCATTTACATGTGTTCAAAACAGTCTCTGGCAATTCTGGGAAACAAATGAATAGAAAAAAATCTGTTTCATAACATTTTATTTATAAAGATGCCTCCAAACTCTAGAGTTTGAAAAATCTACTCATTGGTCTTTATTTTGGTACACCTAAAATCTTATATTGTGTTTGTGTATAGATTTATTAATCCTTCAAGACCACAAGATCATTGAGAGTAGGAACTGTGCGTGTTTTTAAAGAATTATTTTATTTAACTTTATTTATTTAATTTGATTTGACCGGAGTGTGTGTGTGTGTGTGTGTGTGTGTGTGTATGTATCTATGTGTGGAGAGAGAGAGAGACAGAGACAGAGAGAGAGAGAGAAAGCAAGCCACCAGGTCCAGAACTAGAACCATGGTCGGCCATGGGGGAGTCTAGCAGTCCTAACTGCCATGCCACTTGCCGTCCCCCGGAACTGCATGTTATTATTTTTCTAATCCATCTCACACTTCCTTTCAATACTGAGGTCACTTCTTTGCTGGTTGTGATTTGATACATATGAAGAAGTTTATTTCTCACCCAATTGAAAGCTTAAAAAACCTACACTTCTTTATTTTGCTCTCAGGTTTATTACTATACTTCACAAACCACACAATTCACTCATTTTAAGTATAGGATTCATGTTTTTTAGTATATGCTCAGAGTTATGCAACTCTCACCAGCATCAATTTAGAACATTTTTCACCCCCCCAAAGGAACCCCCAAAACTCTTCTTTAGCTCTCACCCCCTCAAGCCCCTTATCATCCCCAGCCCTAGACAAACACTCTTCTACTTAAAAAAAGTCACCTCGCAATGTTGTCTCTATAGATATGCCCATTTTGAACATTTCATATGTGTAAAACCATATCATGTCTGTTAAAATGTACTTTTAAGATAAAATCTAAGACACAGATTTAAACATATAAATTCTCTTTTGATATTTTTGTCATTTTTCATTTGACATGCCACATCATTTCACAGAAAAATTTTCTACTTAGTATTCTTTCAAAAGCATATCTTAAAAACAGTGTAAGACCTAGTCTTGTATTAAGGAATATCAAAGAATTCTAGCTACAAATATTAGTATTATAATTTTAAACTTGAAAAATTTCCTGTATTGTTAGTATTTTAGTTTATGGCCATATAAAAAGTATAGATTGATACTTAGGGTCTTCAGATTTAGCATCCCCTTTAATTCCTTCACAGTCGCATCGATGTTTGTTAGTTCATTGTGGTGTAGCAGGAGGATGTTCAATGAAGGCAGACAATGCAGGCCTAAAAATAATTATTTTTACAAGACTTTAAACCTCTTTTTCAGCTATTTATTTATTTTTTAAGTTAACAAAAATAAGTACTTTAATGCTAATTAAACATGTTAATTAAGCAAAAGAAAAGAATATATTACATGAGTAAAATGTTATTAGTAATTTTATGAAATATCATTACAAATACAACAAAGTATAAGAATTTGGATGATTGTAATGTGGAAATATAAAGTCAATTGCTTTCTATTGTTATTGTTTTACTATTTTTTTCTGTGGTAATGACTTTGCTTATGGAGGGTTTTTTGTTTTCTTTTGTATTTATTTATTTATTTATTTATTTATGTTGATTTATGTTACTTAGATTTATAATGCAAGTCAAGGGAGTAATTACTCATCCAATTCGGTGGCCCCCTCCAAATTGCTCAGCTACATATTTTCTTTACACATTAAGAATCTAAATATTTAGGAACCGGCAGGTAGCATGGTGGTTAAGGGTGCTGGGCTCTCACGTGGCTGACTGAGGTTCAAGTCCTGGACCTAGTGGCTTGCTTTCTCACTTCCACTGTCTCTCTCTCTCTCACTTTGTCTCTCTCTGGTCAAATTAAAAATAAATAAATAAATAAAGTTAAATAAAATAATTCTTAAAAAATCCAAATATCTATATTATTCTGAATTGCACATTTGCCCAGTTTTAATATAAATGAAAGTGGGATATGTCTCGGTGATAGCCATGTCATAGTTGTACTGACAATGTTTTCTTTCTTCATGGTAGATGAAATAATGGTGGATCTTAAAGTTTCTGATTTTTTATTCTATGATATATGATACGGGAGAAAAGTGTTTGGGTGCCAGCCCATGGTATAGTAGTGAAGGTGGCTGGTTTCCACATGGTGACTGTGCAGTTTGAGTCCTGGCGCCTTAAAAAATACACTGACTGCTTGTGCATGTGTGCCCAAAATTCTGAAAGGAGAGAGAAATAGAGGAGAAAGGATTGCCCTGTGTGGCCATGCCCATGGGGAGCATTCTCTGTCTCTCCCCAACAATACACACACCCTCTGGAAAAGTTAAAAAAAAAAAAAAAAGGAAGAATGAAAAATATTCTGTATTATACCTTTTCATATTTCATAATTATAGTATGCCATATACTTTTGCTTGAACTTTTATGTTGATTTGCCAATGTTACTTAGATTTATAATGCAAGTCAAGGGAGTAATTACTCATCCAATTCGGTGGCCCCCTCCAAATTGCTCAGCTACATATTTTCTTTACACATTAAGAATCTAAATATTTAGGAACCGGCAGGTAGCATGGTGGTTAAGGGTGCTGGGCTCTCACGTGGCTGACTGAGGTTCAAGTCCTGGACCTAGTGGCTTTCTTTTTCCCCTCCCCTGTCTCTCTCTCTCCTTTGTCTCTCTCTGGTCAAATTAAAAATAAATAAATAAATAAAGTTAAATAAAATAATTCTTAAAAAATCCAAATATCTATATTATTCTGAATTGCACATTTGCCCAGTTTTAATATAAATGAAAGTGGGATATGTCTCGGTGATAGCCATGTCATAGTTGTACTGACAATGTTTTCTTTCTTCATGGTAGATGAAATAATGGTGGATCTTAAAGTTTCTGATTTTTTATTCTATGATATATGATACGGGAGAAAAGTGTTTGGGTGCCAGCCCATGGTATAGTAGTGAAGGTGGCTGGTTTCCACATGGTGACTGTGCAGTTTGAGTCCTGGCGCCTTAAAAAATACACTGACTGCTTGTGCATGTGTGCCCAAAATTCTGAAAGGAGAGAGAAATAGAGGAGAAAGGATTGCCCTGTGTGGCCATGCCCATGGGGAGCATTCTCTGTCTCTCCCCAACAATACACACACCCTCTGGAAAAGTTAAAAAAAAAAAAAAAAGGAAGAATGAAAAATATTCTGTATTATACCTTTTCATATTTCATAATTATAGTATGCCATATACTTTTGCTTGAACTTGTCAGTTTTGAGATTGTTACAGGAAGAAAATAAACTAAAAATAGAAACAGGAATTTGGCTGGTAAATATTTTTTAAACATTTATTTATTTATTTATTTGTTTGTTGTCATTTTTACGCCTCTGAGTCCAAGATTTGAATTACATTCAGCCATGTGGGAATCCAGCACCTTAACAACCATGCCATCTGCTGGCCTCTGGCTTGTAAATATTATAGCCAGGAAAAACCTAAGATTTTCTAAAGTCATTTTGTTTATTAATGCTTCCAAGTATTAAAATTTGCTTTCACTGTGTCTAGTTTGTGTGCAGCTATATAGTAGAATGGCAAGATTTCTCTGTTAAAAAAGATTATTTTGCATTTCATGTAAAATATATAATGATACTGAAATAGAAAAGCAATCTCACAGTGTATTCCTTAAAATATACACGAGAACATTAAAAGATAGGTTCCATCACATATTTTCAACAGAAATGTTAAAAGATTTTTAGACGTTCATAGTAATTACCATAAATGAATATTATAACTTAATTAAAAATTTATCCAGTCAACAGAGAAAATTTAAGACATACCTTCTATTTCAAATATTGCATTGTTGTTTAGGTATAGTTCTGTCAGACAATAGTTTTTAGTTAGAAATGCTATTCCATGGAGCTGAAAATGAGAATTAGACAAGAATGATTATGCACACACACACACACACACATATATATAGTTATATAGTTATAATTATAGTTATAGTTATAGTTATAATAAAATAGAAGTTTGACTTTTGTCATTATTATTGATCAGCTATATAACCTTTTAATCTGGGTAATGGGTTATACCTGGATTGTCTGAGAATAATGTGATAAAAGAAATATTTGTAGCTAACCTAAAACAAACCTCTCTTACCATAGCTTGGCCAAATTCCCTGGCATGGAATCTGGCTCAGCCCCTTTGTTCTAACACTCTTAACCATGTCTCTCTCAGTTTGACTCCAGTCTTTACTGGATCTGGCACTACAGATACATCAATTCACCATCACATAATATTAAAATAGTATTTTGTGCCACTTGTGTATTATAACTACAGATAATGCCAAGGTCATTCCTGCATCTGGGTGAGTCATGATTTTCTTTTACTGGTCTTTTCTTCCTGGCACATTTTGGATAATTCTTGAGGATCAGCCCTAGGCTAGCAAGGTGTACTCAACTTCGCACAAATGGACACCATACTATGATCTCACCATTTCAGAGATCTGCTGAAACCGTTCTTTGATCTCTTTGCATTTCACATCTTTTTGTTCTGTTTCAACCCACTTTAAAAAAAATTGCCAGAAGGCGTGTACACTCACCAGAGAGAGACAGAGAGACAGAGGGAGAGGGAAAAACACCCCCAAGGGGGGTTTGTTCATGCCTCAATCCCTTCTCCTTCAATTCTCCATTCTATCAGGATTTGAGTCATGCATGGACACCTTCCCAGCATGTGTTTCAAGCCACAGGAGCTGGGATTTGAACTCTGGTCAGCTCTGGGATTTGAAATCTGGCTCCCTTTACCACTAGAGTACAGGGCTGGCCTTGGTCCACTTTTTGTTTCTCTAAATTTCCACTTGTTTGAGGTCAATTCTCCTGAATGATATTCTTGAATGAAATTTAATTCATGCCACTCTCATGTCTCAATAAAAACATTTTAGATTTGTATCTAAAGCTTGAAAACTGGTTTTGCTGATGAATGTTCTTTATTTTTTTTTTCTTATGTTGGCAACGTGCACAAATTGTGAAGCTCTAAAAGGCACATGTCCTGTTCACTTCATTATTTCACAGATTCATCCTCACCAAATTATGTCAGTGCACATTCAGGAGGACCAGAATGAAGTCACCCCAGCTTTTATTAAGTCATGAGAGGAGCCATGCTTTCCTCCCAGTGGGAAAAGATAAATTTGAGTGGGGGAAAAAAACCACTCAAAACAAAAAGTAAGGAAGACCCTTGTTGGCCTTCTATCCCTTTAATGTTTCCTAATGGCCTCCTGGCAGCAATTCACTGCTTTCTGTTCTTCCTCTCAGCACTCCCTGTTCTAATAATAACACACTTGACATCATGGTAGGAAGAGAACACCAGTGGAAATCATGACTTTTCCTCCTTTGCTTTTCAGTTGCAGGCTGACCACACATTAAGAGAGCATTACTAGTTAGTTGAGACTTTAATTTCTCTTGCATTATTCACTAGCAGAAGAAGAATACTAATAAACTTGACAGTTTCATCTTGATTATAAAGTCATAGTTTTCCCAAGAGCACTAATATCCTTGGGCCACAATTATTGGGGTTTTAAACTTGTACTTTTCTGGGACCAGCAGATGGTGTAATGGTTACATCACTAGACTCCCACATAGTTGGCTGCAGTTCAAGTCCCAGACCCAGAAGCTTAAAACTCACGCCAGGTGTGTATGCATGCATGCTCAAAATCCCGAGAAAAGAATGGGAGGAGAAGGGATTGTGGTACTGCCAACCCCCTCCCGGGGTGGGGGGGTGATTTCTCGCTTTGTGTCTCACTGGCAAGCACACATGCCCTATAGCAATCAATCAATAAATAAATAAATAAATAAATAAATAAATAAATAAATAAAGATTCTACTATTTGTTGAGGTGAGAGGAGTAAAGGGAGGCAGAGTGGAAAGAGATAAAGACCTTATCATGAGGAACTTGGGGAGTTATTAGGAGATTTTGTGTAAAGGAGTGTTACTGTCCAAAATGATTTTAGAAAGAAAACAAGGGTAGAACATAGTTTAGAGGCGCTGGTAACTGTAATGGCAGGAGATGAATAAGGAGGGTGTTACTCTAATTCAGAAAGTTATGTGGTGGCCCAAAGAAGAGTAATGACTATGGAAGAATAAAGGTCTCTCTGGTCAAATTAAAAATAAATAAATAAATAAAGTTAAATAAAATAATTCTTAAAAAATCCAAATATCTATATTATTCTGAATTGCACATTTGCCCAGTTTTAATATAAATGAAAGTGGGATATGTCTCGGTGATAGCCATGTCATAGTTGTACTGACAATGTTTTCTTTCTTCATGGTAGATGAAATAATGGTGGATCTTAAAGTTTCTGATTTTTTATTCTATGATATATGATACGGGAGAAAAGTGTTTGGGTGCCAGCCCATGGTATAGTAGTGAAGGTGGCTGGTTTCCACATGGTGACTGTGCAGTTTGAGTCCTGGCGCCTTAAAAAATACACTGACTGCTTGTGCATGTGTGCCCAAAATTCTGAAAGGAGAGAGAAATAGAGGAGAAAGGATTGCCCTGTGTGGCCATGCCCATGGGGAGCATTCTCTGTCTCTCCCCAACAATACACACACCCTCTGGAAAAAAAAAAAAAAAAAAAAGGAAGAATGAAAAATATTCTGTATTATACCTTTTCATATTTCATAATTATAGTATGCCATATACTTTTGCTTGAACTTGTCAGTTTTGAGATTGTTACAGGAAGAAAATAAACTAAAAATAGAAACAGGAATTTGGCTGGTAAATATTTTTTAAACATTTATTTATTTATTTATTTGTTTGTTGTCATTTTTACGCCTCTGAGTCCAAGATTTGAATTACATTCAGCCATGTGGGAATCCAGCACCTTAACAACCATGCCATCTGCTGGCCTCTGGCTTGTAAATATTATAGCCAGGAAAAACCTAAGATTTTCTAAAGTCATTTTGTTTATTAATGCTTCCAAGTATTAAAATTTGCTTTCACTGTGTCTAGTTTGTGTGCAGCTATATAGTAGAATGGCAAGATTTCTCTGTTAAAAAAGATTATTTTGCATTTCATGTAAAATATATAATGATACTGAAATAGAAAAGCAATCTCACAGTGTATTCCTTAAAATATACACGAGAACATTAAAAGATAGGTTCCATCACATATTTTCAACAGAAATGTTAAAAGATTTTTAGACGTTCATAGTAATTACCATAAATGAATATTATAACTTAATTAAAAATTTATCCAGTCAACAGAGAAAATTTAAGACATACCTTCTATTTCAAATATTGCATTGTTGTTTAGGTATAGTTCTGTCAGACAATAGTTTTTAGTTAGAAATGCTATTCCATGGAGCTGAAAATGAGAATTAGACAAGAATGATTATGCACACACACACACACACACACATATATATAGTTATATAGTTATAGTTATAGTTATAGTTATAATAAAATAGAAGTTTGACTTTTGTCATTATTATTGATCAGCTATATAACCTTTTAATCTGGGTAATGGGTTATACCTGGATTGTCTGAGAATAATGTGATAAAAGAAATATTTGTAGCTAACCTAAAACAAACCTCTCTTACCATAGCTTGGCCAAATTCCCTGGCATGGAATCTGGCTCAGCCCCTTTGTTCTAACACTCTTAACCATGTCTCTCTCAGTTTGACTCCAGTCTTTACTGGATCTGGCACTACAGATACATCAATTCACCATCACATAATATTAAAATAGTATTTTGTGCCACTTGTGTATTATAACTACAGATAATGCCAAGGTCATTCCTGCATCTGGGTGAGTCATGATTTTCTTTTACTGGTCTTTTCTTCCTGGCACATTTTGGATAATTCTTGAGGATCAGCCCTAGGCTAGCAAGGTGTACTCAACTTCGCACAAATGGACACCATACTATGATCTCACCATTTCAGAGATCTGCTGAAACCGTTCTTTGATCTCTTTGCATTTCACATCTTTTTGTTCTGTTTCAACCCACTTTAAAAAAAATTGCCAGAAGGCGTGTACACTCACCAGAGAGAGACAGAGAGACAGAGGGAGAGGGAAAAACACCCCCAAGGGGGGTTTGTTCATGCCTCAATCCCTTCTCCTTCAATTCTCCATTCTATCAGGATTTGAGTCATGCATGGACACCTTCCCAGCATGTGTTTCAAGCCACAGGAGCTGGGATTTGAACTCTGGTCAGCTCTGGGATTTGAAATCTGGCTCCCTTTACCACTAGAGTACAGGGCTGGCCTTGGTCCACTTTTTGTTTCTCTAAATTTCCACTTGTTTGAGGTCAATTCTCCTGAATGATATTCTTGAATGAAATTTAATTCATGCCACTCTCATGTCTCAATAAAAACATTTTAGATTTGTATCTAAAGCTTGAAAACTGGTTTTGCTGATGAATGTTCTTTATTTTTTTTTTCTTATGTTGGCAACGTGCACAAATTGTGAAGCTCTAAAAGGCACATGTCCTGTTCACTTCATTATTTCACAGATTCATCCTCACCAAATTATGTCAGTGCACATTCAGGAGGACCAGAATGAAGTCACCCCAGCTTTTATTAAGTCATGAGAGGAGCCATGCTTTCCTCCCAGTGGGAAAAGATAAATTTGAGTGGGGGAAAAAAACCACTCAAAACAAAAAGTAAGGAAGACCCTTGTTGGCCTTCTATCCCTTTAATGTTTCCTAATGGCCTCCTGGCAGCAATTCACTGCTTTCTGTTCTTCCTCTCAGCACTCCCTGTTCTAATAATAACACACTTGACATCATGGTAGGAAGAGAACACCAGTGGAAATCATGACTTTTCCTCCTTTGCTTTTCAGTTGCAGGCTGACCACACATTAAGAGAGCATTACTAGTTAGTTGAGACTTTAATTTCTCTTGCATTATTCACTAGCAGAAGAAGAATACTAATAAACTTGACAGTTTCATCTTGATTATAAAGTCATAGTTTTCCCAAGAGCACTAATATCCTTGGGCCACAATTATTGGGGTTTTAAACTTGTACTTTTCTGGGACCAGCAGATGGTGTAATGGTTACATCACTAGACTCCCACATAGTTGGCTGCAGTTCAAGTCCCAGACCCAGAAGCTTAAAACTCACGCCAGGTGTGTATGCATGCATGCTCAAAATCCCGAGAAAAGAATGGGAGGAGAAGGGATTGTGGTACTGCCAACCCCCTCCCGGGGTGGGGGGGTGATTTCTCGCTTTGTGTCTCACTGGCAAGCACACATGCCCTATAGCAATCAATCAATAAATAAATAAATAAATAAATAAATAAATAAATAAATAAAGATTCTACTATTTGTTGAGGTGAGAGGAGTAAAGGGAGGCAGAGTGGAAAGAGATAAAGACCTTATCATGAGGAACTTGGGGAGTTATTAGGAGATTTTGTGTAAAGGAGTGTTACTGTCCAAAATGATTTTAGAAAGAAAACAAGGGTAGAACATAGTTTAGAGGCGCTGGTAACTGTAATGGCAGGAGATGAATAAGGAGGGTGTTACTCTAATTCAGAAAGTTATGTGGTGGCCCAAAGAAGAGTAATGACTATGGAAGAATAAAGTGGAGGAAATTGAAGATAGTTCCAAGGTACAATTCATTTGACTTAATACAATTTGCAATATAGCAATTGTTAAAGTCAGAATTGGGGTGGGGGTGCAGCAGGTTGTACAGTGGTTACAACACTGGATTCCCACATGGCCGACTGTGGCTCAAGTTCTGGACCTGGAGAGTTGTAAATCAGGCTTTGTGTGTGTGTGTTCATGCCCAAAATCCCAGGAGGAGAACGGAGGAGAAGAGATTGTGGCGCGGTCATACCCCCTGGGAGTTATTTCTCACTTTCTCTCTCTCTGTGTCTCTTTGGTGAGCACATGTATCCTATGGCAAAACCTGCTTAAAAAAAAAATTGAAAAAGTAAAGTCAGGAACAGGAATTGGAAGACATGCTGATTTTCCTGATACTCAAACCATTGTTCAGGTTGACCTAGGATTTGAGCCTGGGCTGTCCATGTGGTTCAAGCCATTATTAAAGTAAAATGTTATTATAGTTTTCTATTTATAAAAATCTATACTATTGACTCTAAGACTTGCCATTGAGTTTATAGTTAATAGTTAACATGACATTTTATAAATCATGTATCCTTGCTTTTGGCTTGGCACATAGAAAGCACACACAACAAGTCAAAAATTTTATTTTTAAAGCTATTATTATTATTTACAGAGCTGACAGCTCTTTTATTTAATATAACATACTTATAGGTAATTACTGAGGCACTCCTAGGAAAAAATATGTAACACTACTAATTTAAAATGGAAGATGTTCTTTTAAAGCTTGGCTTCTCAACCTCTACAACTATCAACATATTGGACCAGACAATTCTTTGTTGGAGCGAGGAGGTAGGAGTAGAGGCTGTCCTGGGCGTTTAGTAAGTTTAGCAGTATTCCTGGCCTTTACCAGCTAGATATATTCTCCCTCCCTCCTCTACATCTTCATCCTGTCAAGATTTCAGGCATGTGGGCACAGGCTCAGTGTACTTTTTATGTTGTGCGAGTTGGAATTTGAACCATGGCTGCCCATGTGGGATCTGGCTCCCTATACACAATGTGTAACCACTGTCTTACAGGGTTAGCCATGTTTTTTTTTTTGCAATATAAGTTTTCCACAAATTTTTTAAAGACACCTCCCCCCATGTAAGCAAATTCACTTGCTCTAGGCTTCTTCAGCCTCTTTCACATTCCATTTTATCCTTCTGGCATCCTCTTAACACTGCCTACTATTCCTTTCACTTCCTACTTCATCCTCTTTCAGCAGAACCTAGAGTCCCATTTCTGCATGTTCTCAAAGTAAAGTATTATATTGTTCACAGAGATTAAAATATTAGCCATTCTGGTATTTCTTCTAAATTAGAAGACCGTAAACAATGACTGTCTAGATATTGACTTTCGGGTCAGTTTGAGTAACTACAAGTGATCTGAGAAAACTTCTGAGCATCCATCAAATTATGTTCCATAACAACTCCCTAAGCCATCAGCTCTTAAAATCGGCTTCATGAACTAAATGAAAATAGTGTCATCCATATAAAGAGTGGCTTCAAAAAGTTCACGTTACATGAAACAAGACCACAGAACTTTAGACTTGAGAGGAAACTTCAGCATCATTACGGGTAAGGATTCAGAACGACTTCACAGCTTCAGCAGTTACACTGGAAACTAGATGATGGTAGAAAGTTGCCTTCCTTCCCACCTAGAATTCTGTCAGCCAAACAAGTATGAGAATTGAATAAACACAGTCATAGGCATGCACTGTCCTTAAAAACTTACCACCTGTTGTAATATGCTGTGAAGATATATGCAATTCGACATAATATTTAAAAATTATGATCATAAAGAATAAGATAAAAAAAAGTACCACCTGTAGCCTTTTTTCAGGAAGACACTGGAGAATGTACGCTGGGCAAAAGATAGGTCAGCAATAGAAAAAGCAAGGGAGGCAAAGGGAACCCTCAGGGTGGCGATGAGGAATGACGATGCTGTGCACAGACAAAGACACACCAAGCAAACAGTACGGATGGGAGCAAGTAAGAAGATCCTGTGCAGACTTCTTCAAGAAAATAAAAATAATCTGAATGCATTGAACAGATTTGGTCAATTGGCCAAAACTAAGTGATAATAACAGATAAAAGTGTTTTTGCTGGGACCAGCAAGTGGCATAATGGTTATGTCACTGGATTCTCATGTAGTTGACCATGGTTCGAGTTCCAGACCCCATGGCTTAAACCTCACACTGGGCGTGTGTGCGTGTGTGCCCAAAATCCCAAGAGGAGAATGAAGAAGAAGGGATTGTGACATGGACATTCCCTCTAAGGGTTGATTTCTGGTTTTTCGTCTCTCCGTCGAGTGCATATGCCCTATAACAAAAATCTTTCTCAAAAAAGAAGTGATTTTGCTTTCTAGGGTTGCTATGGCAAACTGGATGGGTTTAACAGAAGAAATTTATTTCCTTGCAGTTCTGGAGGCTGGGAATCCAAGATCAAGGCATCAGCAAGAGTGGTTTCATTATGAGGCCTCTTTCTTTGATTTGCAGATGGCCATCTTCTGGGTGTCTTCACGTGATCCTCTCTGTATGTTTGTGTCTGATTTCTCTCTATCTTGTTTCCTAATCTCTTTTTCTTATAAAGACACTAGTCATATTGGTTTAAGGCCCACCCTAAAGATCCATTTGATTTTAACTATCTCCTTAACTATCCTATACCCCAACACAGTCACATTCTTAAGTACTGGGCATTAAGGCTTCTATATATAAATTTGGGTGCACACAATTTAGTCTTTAATAGAAAATGAGCAAAAA